AACAGGCCGGTGACTCTTGGCCTTGCTTTGATGTGTCCCGCAGAGCAGGGTTGGATAAGGGTTGACATTGTTGTCCATTCTCTTGGAAATTTAGAAGTCTTCTCTGAGTTTCCTTAACACCCTGATCTCGTGGTTGACTGCCTGCCTCAGACTGCCCCTTCCCTGTCTCTTTTCTGAGGAGACGACCTTTTCTGCAGTCTACTCTGAAATTTGGTGTAACTCAGAATTGTATTCTGGATCTTTCAAAAAGTGTCTAATTGTGGGCTGGGGGTATAGTTCAGTGGTGAAGTGCTTGCCCAGCAGGCATGAGGCCCTGGGTTCAATCCCCAGTAGCACACAAAACAAAATAAAAAAACCTGAAAACTCTCTAATTGTCATATGTATACCCAAAAGTGCTTAAAGCCAATATCACCTGTAAAACTAATGACAAGTGAACAACAGCAAGACCACCATACAAGTCAGAAAATACAGCTTTAGCTAGGTTCAGTGACACACACCTATAATCCCAGTGGCCTGTTGGAGGGCTGAGGTAAGAGGATCACAAGTTCAATGCCAGCCTCAGCAAATTAGTGAGGCTCTAAGCAACTTAGCAAGACTCTGTCTCAAAATGAAAAAAAATAAAATAAAAAAGGGCTGGGGATGGGCTCAGCACCCTTTAGTTCAATCCTTGGTACCAGAAAAAAAAAAAGAAAGAAAGAAAAGAAAAAGAAAAAAGAAAAACAAACAAGTTAAAAAAAATACTTTGCTAGCACCCCCCAAATTCCCCCTAAGTCATTTTTAATTTTTATTTTTAAGTTTTTTTTTTTTTAAATTTTTGGTACCAGGGATTGAACCTTGGAGAGCTCAACCACTGAGCCACATCCCCAGCCCTTTTTTATCTTTTATTTTGAGACAGTGTCTTGCTGAGTTTCTTAGGGCCTTGCTAAATTGCTGAGGCTGGCTCTAAACTTGTAATCCTCCTGCCTCAGCCTCCTGAGCCACTGGGATTACAGGAGTGTACCACTGCCCCTGACCCATATGTTATTTTTTAAATTTATTTTTGACTGATAAATAAAAATATTAAAATTGTACATATTAATGGAGTATCATGTAGTTTTAATATATGTATACATTGCTCCCATGTGTCTTTTAAAATATTTCTTTTTTTTTAGTTTTAGGTGAACACAATATCTTTATTTTGTTTCTATGTGGTGCTGAGATTCGAACCCAGTGGCTCACGCATGCTAGGCAAGTGCTCTGCCTCTGAGCACAGCCTCAGTCTCAGTTTTGCTTGTTTTTGAACTTTATTTAAATGAAATCACTGTGCATATTCCTTTGTGTCTCTTCTTTGTGGCTCAGTGGTAGAGCACTTACCTAGCACATGCAAGGCACTAGGTTCAATCCTCAGCACCACATAAAAATAAAATAAATAAAATAAAGGTGGTCTATCAACAGCTACAAAAAAATTTGCCATTCTGGTGGATGAACCACAATCTAGATAATGGACATATTCATCACCCCCCAAAATTTCTTCACGCTCTTTCCTCATGCTCTATCCTCTGTCACTCCTCATTTCTCTGTCAATAGATGAGGTTAAGCGCCTTTTTTGTGTTTATTAAACATTTGGATTTCTTCTTTTGTGATGGACCCAAAGTCTCAACAAGTTTGAACAGTGTCATGAAGTCATTGAATGAGAGTTGGAAAGAGGTTGGAAGAGAGGTTGAGAGGTTGTGAGGGATTGAAGAAGTTAAGATTTCAGTGGTACATGAGTTCGGAGGCATAAAATGGTCTACTCAGGGCCCTGCAAGTATGTGAATGGAGCAGAAAAAGTGATCATCAGAAGTGAGGAAGCCAGAGGAATGAGAAACCAAGGATGTGAAACAGATCTTCCACATAAATGATGAAGTGACCTGGGTTTTGGTAAAGCTAGCAGGTGGAAAGAATGACTGAATGAAGGAGAGTGCTTGAGAGGTGCAGCAGCCATAGTCTGGAAGGTGCAGTGGGGAGCAAAGAGGAGGCCTGGCCCATCTCCAGACATAGAAGTATTTGGGGAGGGAAGCAGTTTTGGAGGAGAACCTATAAGTGGGGTTCCCAGGAAAAAACGAGTCTCAGTGAAGGAAGGTGTTGAGGGGAGCTTTCTGTATGGGCTATTTGGGTACTTACCAATCCCTAGAACTGGGGTTCCAGTGGGCACTGTTGAAAAAGACATAGGGGAGGGGTAGCAGAGTGGAGGCTTAGAACAGTGTGGAGTAAATGCTGAGAGAAAAGAGATGACCAGAGGAGTTCATAGCCATGGTGGTGATTCCTAGATAACAGGAAGGTGATTCTTGATTCTGGTTCCCAAGAATGGTCCTATTGGATGGTAAGCTCAATGAGGGCAGGCATGATGTCTACATTGGCCACTGCTCTATGCTCAGCACCTAATGTTCTGTCTGGTATGTCACAGGAGCTCATACACATGTGCTGATGGAAGAATAAAATAAGTAGCTGGAGGTGCATGCAGTGTCTGGTGCTTGATAGATATTAGCACCATTTCATTCATGGTATTTTATGATAAATTGATTTACTTGCATATGTGGCATGACATGTCCTTGTAAAGGTTTTACTAGTGGGTACTAATGAGGCTTGTGAAACACCAAAGTCCAATTAAGGATGCCAGTGTGTATCCTTGAACTGGTGACTACAATTTTAAGAAATCTATAAACCTAATCAAATGAACTATAGTTGATTTGAGGTAAGGAGTAGGTGAGGTCTATAAAAAAGGAATAAAAAGAAAAATAAGAATTTGTATTTAATAAGCAGTGTTCATAGAAAATATACCTGTGATGGACACAATTTGTGTTACTTGGGAGTTCTGTCAACAAAGAACATTCTTCAGCTGTCATTTTCTTTAGAGATTGCTTCAGATGATGAGAGATATCTTGTCCAAGGTTATACCCTTAGTGGGATTGCCCAGACCCAATGATCCATTGAAGCCCAGGTATGAAGGCCTGCCCTGTGGCTTAGCATAGGACAACTGACTGGTCATTTGAACTCCAGAGCCTGCCATCAAGTGAGCAAAAGCTTTGCCACATCTATATTGCTGTTCTCTTCTCCTCCTGCGTAATCCTCTTTCCTTCCCTTCTCTTCCACAGATGTGGATCCCTAGGGCACTCTCTGGAAAACATTCCACATGGTAAACTCCATCTCAGAGTCAGCTTTTCCAGGGAACCCCATCTGTGACAACACCTTAATGCAAGGGTCACACCCTTTAAAGGCCTTCAGAAAATGAAGTTGGCTGGGTTAACTCCACTAGGGAGTGGTAGGGAACTAGGTCAATTGAAGAGATTGTGCTCTATCTAAATTTGAAGAAATTGGCAAACAACATTGTACTATAGGTGATGTGTTTAATTCAACCTGGGAGACTCCATTTCTGACATTTGCTTGATAGGTTGTTAATTATGGTAACAGGACCTGCCTTTTACATGTCTTTGGTGAGTTTGGTCAGTGTTGGTCAGTCCCTAAATGCATCACCAACTCATGGTGCTATGGCTTAAGGAGGTTCTGAGCCTTCCAGGGTAAACCCCAGACCCAGATCTGTTGGATCACACCCAGGCACTGCCTGCAAGGAGGCACCTCCTTTGACCTTTATCTTCAATTTTAATGCTCGTTGTTGTCTGAGAGCAACCCTGGCCCCTCTCCCTTCCCATGCTTGCTTATTAGGCTGTTTGCAGTTCTGTTGTGTCTTTTTCAGAAGAGTAGCCTGGTGGTAGCAGGGGACACAAGCTAGCACTGGGGCCTATAGAGATAGGGTTGCAGGCTGCAAAGGTCTCAGCATTACAGCCCATACTTGCTAAGAACAGAGAACAAATTCCCTTTTAGATGGGAGTTGACCCTCACGTTTGGCTGTCACCATCTGCATTGGTGGGAACACACCCTTTTTTAAGTATTTATTTTTTAGTTTTAGGTGGACACAATATCTTTATTTTATTTTTACGTGGTGCTGAGAAAAGAACCAAGTGCCTCATGCATGCTAGGATAGCACGCTACCACTTGAGCCACATACCCAGCCCTAGAACACACCCTTTTTGAAGGATGAAATTGATCTGGACCACATCTGGTTTGAATATTTTTGCTCCTGGCCAGACTCACTCTGGTCTACCTCACTGGTGGCTTTATGGAGCCAGAGAACAAAGAGGAAATATGTTTGCTAAGGCCACCTCCTCCCATCAGGAGCATAGTGATGGCTGCCCACTTCTCTAGAGCTTTGCCACATTTGTAGCCCCTTGATGGCTTCATGAGAGGCCAAACTTGAATCCTTGAAATGAAGTCCATGAACACAGATTGCCTGCCTTTGTTGTTGTTGTTGTTGTTATTGGGGTTGGAAACAGGGACCTCATGCATGCCAGGCAAACACTATCATTGAAGTACATCCCCAGTCCCATATGTCTTAAGGCTATGGTTTGGTGGGCTAGAATTCTGCAAGATATTGTATGACGCATTTTTGTTTGGGGCTTCCAAGGGTTTGTGAGCATCAGATTCAATCTGTCTGGGCCCTGCATGAAACTGAGGGAAGATCAAAACTTCCAGCTTCACTTGCTTTTAGTTGACTTTAAAAATCAATACTTTTGGAGATCACATAGCTGAGCAATACATTATTAGTCTCTCACTATCTTCGCTGTAGGTAACAATCTGACATGTGGATCATGTTGATGACAGTCTCCTAGTTTACTTTTCAGGGTTCTAAAGGCTGCTTTTGTTGAAACTACTGATTCTTCACTTGTGTATGGGTGTCCAGTGGATGACTTTTTGGCTTCAGAAGGTGTTTTCTCTCCTCATACTTTATACTCATGAATAATGTGTTTCTGTTTTACCAAAATTTTTACTTCAGTGATTGGCATACTGTACAGTGGGCAAAATGGGCCTGGTAGGGTAACATACACCTGTGTGGTCAGAAAAACATGCTCATGAATCAGGTTTAGGGGCTGAATAAAGCCATCATTGCTTCAATGAAAACCAGAGGGCGAAACAGAAACAGAAAATGATTTAACCGAAAAAGTTTATTTTAAGAAGACACAAACAGCTCTAGCTATATAAGAATACAGTTCAATTGCTGGTAGCAAGCCAGTAAGGAATGCTTTTTAAAAAAAGAAAAGAAAAAGAAAGACAAGAAAAACCCTTTGTATATCACCCCACAGAGGGCTCCCTTCCATTTTGTGTTGGAATCTTACCAAGACTGGGATTGTGGTCTCTCTGAGTTTCTGCTTCTTCTTGAAATTCTGATCCATGGACACATTCTTGTCACTGGGGGAATTACCTTACCTCTTCCTTCCAGTTTAGGATACTGATCTGTAAATTCCTGTCTCCCTTGTTTGTCTTAAGTGTATTTCTGGCACTTAGTAAGCACTGAATGTAAGTGCTAACTTAACAAAATTCTGCCGCCTGGCTCTGTACAGGCCAATCCTCAGTCCTCACTTTGCTTTTGGCGGGGGACTCCTTTTAGGTCCAAGGCACAAACCTGGTTTCCCTTTCTAATTCTGGAAATCCTGAACAGAACACAGAAAGGGACTGTCATGGGTGCTTTAAAATAGGGAAATCCTGAAAGTTACTTGTGTCTCTAATTTTTAAAAAATTTAGGTTTCAGTAAGTGGATAGATCCCTGGGCTCAAGTAACAGAAATCAAACTAAAGGCTCTAAGAAGCAAATTTATTGAGTTAGGAAAGGCTGCAACCTGAGGGCTATTTCCGAATGACTGAGTCCACATTGAATTTAAATCCTGGCTTTCTGTGCACTGGCCTGTCCAGAAGTGTCACAGAGGAGTTTCTTCAAATGGCTCCCTGAGGAGGAGCCGATGAAAACCAATGGAGAGGTCTAAAAAGACAAGATAGGAGAGATACCTCAGGAGCCCCACCATCCTGTTCTCCTTAATCAGTCCCAGCAGAACTGGTCCTGGACCAGAAGACCAATGAGGGAGCTAGGTGGTACGCACGTGTGATTCATTAGTGAAAGTGGCCCTCACAGTCCAGGTGGAGAAACCACACTCACATACACAGGCACATACCTTCTCGTCCACTCCTATGTCCCAATGTTTCTACAAGTGAATGTGAAAATGTGAATCTGAGCTTCAGACCCCCAAATAGTATGAGGTGTGCAGATGGAAGCAAGGTGGAGAAATGTGAAGGAATTTTGAGAATCATTTTAGGGGTTCACAAAACAGGAGGTGGTGGGCTAAATATCTGCTGGTTATAGCATTGCATGGAGCATCCCAAGGAGCTCATCCCAGGATCTGGGGGCCCAGGACACAGAAAAACTGGGCACAGAATACCTTCTGCACCTCATTGGCTTTCTTGTCAGAGCTGAGTGCTCTGTCTAGTACTAGGTCCAAATCATTTTTAGGAAATAAACACATGGAAATTCTGAGTTTTAAAACCCGCCTTTAGAACCAGGAAAATTGGTGATTTCTCTAGGAAATCATAGACTGGATTAGAATTTATGGCCTGAACAACCAGACTTTCCAATGACAGTCCTAAACTTGTGATGGTAGTATGGGGCAGGAGAGAGTAGCCCAAGGTTTGGGGAGCAATGACAAGATTAAAGAAATAAGAAAACTCGGAAATTCATTCTTTCCTACTACCTTACTTCCAACCTGGTGAGTCAGAGGAACACTTAAAAGCAAGGAACAAGGACAGATCCAGAAAAGAACGAGTGTTTCTACACTGAGGCAGTCAGTAATGAGAGCTAGTTAATGAGGGACATCCAATGTAATGGTTGGCACATGCAGCCCCTCTCTCCCTGCCCATGTGCAGTCAGACTGATCTGATGATGCAGGAAATATGAGGGCAGTGAGCCACATCATCTGATACACAACCCACTTACCACGTGGGACAGGTCACAGAAATACCTGTTCCAGATAGTGATGATGATGACAAGCAGGCCAAGTTCAGCCTGAGGTTTTGTATGGTCTGTAAGCTAAGACTTGTTTTTACATTTTCCAAGGGCTGTAAAACAAATGAAGGAACAAACAGTAACAGCAAAGAAAAATGTGTTAGAGACTGTATGTGGTCCAGAAGGCTTACAACAGTTACTGTCTGGCCCTTTGCAGAGGAAGATTGTCAGTCCCTGGTCTAGATGATGGTGGAAATCCTACCAATCTCTGGTAAGAAGCCTCTGAGGTCCCTGAAAAGGGAAACCAGAGGAAGTCCAGAAGAAACAGGGGGATGATAACAATAACTGGAAATACCATTCAATATGATTGGCACAACCCTCAAAGTCCACTGCCTCCAAGTCCAAGGAATAGTAAGGTATGCATGAACTAAGGAAGGAAGTCCAAGGATAGCCAAAGAGAGAGCCACATTTAGGAACATTAGGCAAAGAATATTCTGAAAAAGACACTCCATGCAGAGCTCAGTACTGATTAGGGAATTCTATTATTTTTCATTAAGAAAAAGATGAGGTTTGAGCCCAGGGATTGTCAAAATATCAAGCCAAGTGAAGTTTCTAGAACACAGCTGAGTAATGCACGAACATCTAACAATCTGAAAATTTTTCATAAAGATTAAGGGAAGGCTAAAGTAGATTCTAGGAAAGCTAATATTGGTTTGCCCTACTTAAATAAACACCAAATACAAAAGTTCATACTAAAAAAATAGAGACATTAAGGGACAAGAGGAGTCTTGGTTTTTCAAAAGAAATCCCCAGAAGATTCCCTTATATAGGAAGCCTCCCTACTAAAAATGAAATTTGATCTATAAAAACCCATTTCACACAATTTTTAGGTACAACATCCATTATACAAAGTAGGGCACAGATACTGAATATGGAGGGAACAAAAGTTTCTAAGCTAAAAATCAGATTTATCTTTGGATTCATGAACTAAAGAACTCTTGAGCATTTTTTCTTAAAGCATATATATATATATATATATATATATATATATATATATATATATATAAATTAATTGAAATACCTGGGAAATTTGAAAGTCATAAAAGTAGAAGAAAGCTGTGGCTATTCTATAAGTGTAGTGCTTTAAGTGACAAAACATTCAGCCCAGAGGCAGGAGACCTGGAATTGAGGTTAGGCCTTGCCTCTGGCTCACTGCGTGACCTTAGGTAAGCTATTTGACCATTCTGGTCTCAGTTTCCTCATCTATGGAATGAGAGAGGTTGGTCCCTTTCAACTCTAACATTCTGTGAATATAGATAAATATAGAAATAAGATAAATACAACAATCTCGAAATAAGAAATATTCCCCAAAGTAAGTTTTGGAGTTAGTAGAAAAAAGTAGCAATGAAACATAATAAAAAGAATAAAATCTTAACTACTAGACAGAGTAAATATATATCATTGAAAAATTAATGAAAAGGTTTGCAATTTACAATTGATCAGGAGACATCAGAACATACATATTGATATTTCTTCACCATCACACATACAGAGGAAGGTATGAGTTTGAGGTGACTGGAACAATGAGCACAATGCTGTGTTTGCATGCATAACATTTTATAAAATTGGACATAAAAAAGCTCAAGACCACATAAGGAATAAATTTCTATAAAGCTTGGCATACAAAGAGGCTGAGGGGGTTAACTGTTTGTTCCGGTTCATATTTTGTTTTGGAGTGCATTGCTATCAAACTCCATTCTTTAGGCAAATATCTTAAAATCAAATATACTTCTGCCAGAGCCCTCTTGGAGAATAGCCACCATGGTGAAGACTGTTGTTTAAGGATTGGCAATACCAAACAAGTGTAACACCTTTCCTTTTTTTTTTTTTTTTTTTTGTTTAAATTCAGAGTTAATTTTCTTTTTAAAACCCAAACCGGGTCGGATGTGCTGGCTAAGTCAAATCAAAGGTTTTGTAGTTTAAATAGTTGATTCAATCTGGTATTTTTTTTTTTTTTGTGGTAGTGAGGGTTGAGCCTAGGGACACTTACCACCCAGCTTTTTGTTTTGTTTTGTTTTGAGACAGAGTCTTGCTAGGTTGACAAGGCTGGCCAGGAACTTGAGATCCTCCTGCCTCAGCCTTCAAGTTACTGGGATTACAGGAGTGTATCACCACACCTGGCTCAATCAGATAATTTCTTTTTTTTTTAATAAGTTTTAGTTGTTGATGGACCTTCATTTATTATTTATATGTGGTGCTGAGAATCAAATCCAGTGCCTCACACATGCTAGGCAAGTGCTCTACCACTGAGCCACAACCCTGGCCCTCAATCTGATAATTTCTTAACACCGAACAAATATATGCCTGACTAAGACGATGATATACATCTTTTGGCCAGAAACTGATCACTGTAATGTCATCCAAAATAACAGGAAGGTTGGGATCAGTTGAAGAGTTGTGGCTGTAGTGATTCAGGGCCTTGAAGGAGTAACATCACTGGACCACACACACACACACACACACACACACACACACACTCCCTTTCCCTCTCTCTCTCTCTCTCTCTCTCTCTCTCTCTCTCTCTCCTCCATGGATGCTGCTATTGCAAGTCCTGGAACCACACTTAAGAGAATCACTGGCCTAGATTTTGGGCTTTACTGAACAAAAGTATATACCTATCTTACATAATCCATTGCTCATGCAAATTTCTTTTGCTAATGTATTAAAAGTGTTGTGCCCCTAATATGTGTTCATAACCATTTACTACTATAGTTCTCTATAAGCCTATTTCAAAGTATTCTAAAACTTTGTTTATTTCATCATTGTTTAAATCATTATACTGTTTTCTGCCCTTTGACAAAGGCACTTCTTTGTATCTCTTTCCCACTCTCTCATCCTTTTAAATCTAATATCTTTGTCACTTATAGCTGAAATACATGCAAAGGCTTTAAAGGGACTGGGTGCTCTGATAATAATATGGTCTCATTCTCACACCAAGCTGAAGTGATAGCACATAACAGAGGTAAAATGGGGGGAGGGAGAGTAGAGGCCTGTGTTTAATAAAGTTGTACCTCCAATAAGTATCACTACCAATACTGGATGACTGACATTGATGGACACGGGTTGCACAGTTTAATCTTTCACAAACAGGACACATTTCCACAAACTCTTCAAATCTTTGTGTTCTTTTACTCAAATGATAAGTAGTATTAACTCTGTTATATAACATGTTAATGTACAATATGAATGATCTAGGCCTTCTCAGTGGCTTTTAGTAGCCAATTCTGAGAGTCCCTTGGTAGTAACCATACTGAACAGCACTGGGTATCTGGATAATCTGGTTGACCATCAGCTAGTATCTATAATTATTCCAGGAGATAAAGTTATTTTCTATACTCTGGAGTTAGCCATCAGGGAATCTGGCCTTTCCATGGTGAAAAATACACTTTTACAATTAGTTGATGCCTAACATTCTGCAAGTAGAACTTCATTCCTTTGGCTTCAGGCTTTCCCCTGTTAAAATGCAAGCAACCCTCAAAAGAGGTAGCATTAAGCCTTATTTATAATCTCAAAGTAAATTAATTTATCCCTTTCCTGAGAGCATGTTTTCTTAGAGAGGGGAGAACAAAGCAGGAGGCACTAAGGAGAGTTGGTGCTGGGGGAAGGGAGCAGAAGGAGACTGAGGATGGCGTGGGCAGACCTCCAGTTTATTCACTATTTTTCTGAAGGGCTGTCCCTACTGAAATGGGTGCTAACTTGTCGCATGGAGCAGGTTACTTAGAAATCAACTATGTTTTTTGATAACTCTGAAGATTCTGTGATGCGTAGGCATACAAAGGCTTCTAGCAGTGAATGAAAGAACAGATACCAATAAAACATTTGGTGCAACAACAGATAGGAAGTTAGCCTCCCAAATCAGAACAATACATGGAAGAAGAGAAACTGATATCACTTTGAAGAGTGCAAATCACAAGGCCTGGACGAGGGTAAGGCACTTGCAAGGCCCTTAGAGCAGGCAGGCGCCTACTTGGCACTTCGCCCACCTCACCCTAGTCCTGGCCCTGGCAAATCATATTAAAGCGAAAGCTCACCATTTGTGTCACAGACTTGGTGAATATGGAAGGCTGAACCAGTGAGGAGCAAACTGAGCATGAACTTGTTTTTTTTCCTGACTAGTTCCGGGATGAGGAAGAAGACAGGTTTATGGGCAGATCTGCTCAGAGAGATAGGTACAATCGGATCTGTGTTGTCTAGATAGTTAAAGTGGATGTCAGACAAAAATGCTTGTTAGGACAGCTTTGGAGACTCTGTTGTCATTATTCATTCGTGGTAATTTCTCCAGATCATTATCAGCCGGTCAACTTGTGGTCATTAAACCAATGTGAACTATTGGCTGCCTGTAGCCTTGTGTCCTTCATGGTTGAGCTATTATCTAGGGCTGCAGTTCATGGGTGTTGGGGCTGAGGGACAAATTGGGGCCAGGTGGGAGGCCCAGGCAGTCCAAGTAGTACAGGCAAAAGAGAGGAGGCACCAGCAAAGCCTGCATTTGAACTAAGAACTTACTAATGTCCACCTTAGAACCACAAATATGTAATGAATCCCCACTACATGCAAAGTATTCTGAGATACCAATTAACTGCCTCTTTGGGGATGGCTCCCTCTGCTCATGACAAGACCAAAGCCACCTGCTACTACTGGTGGGGATAAGAGGGTTGAAGTTGGAAACTGACATCCTTGGGCCAGCTTCACTTCCCTCCAACCTCTTCAATATTCCACTTTTGGAAATTATTCTCATTATTATTCATAATAGTCATAGCAGTGGTAGTAGCTTTACTGAGAGCCTTCTTGGAAGGGGATTTCTCTCTCTCTTCTCCAGCCTCAGCAGAGTAGGCCCAGAAAGTGGCAAACATGGTGGTAAATGCCTGGGTGGGAGAGAGAATCGGTGCTATGGTAATCAAGGCAGGGCTGGGGATATAGCTCAGTGGTAAAGCACTTGCCTTGCATGCATGTGGTCCTGGGTTTGATCCTCGCACCACAAAAAAGTGATAAGGGCAGGAGAGAGGTTGAGTGTTAGAAGAAGAAAAGATGCTTGGTGTTATTTAAATCAATGAATTGTAGAAGATTTATGGTTTGGTTTTTGGGGGACTAGATCCATCTTTTGCAAAATATTAAATGAATATTTCCAGTCCTAAATGTTGTCTCTCACCATACAATCTCTGCTCCCAAATCCTCTTGTGCTAATGGGGACATGTGTGGGCCATGGTAATGATGCAAAGATATTAAAAAAATTCTAGGCATATGGAGTTCTGTAGAGGAGAACAAGGATCACAGAAATTGTAAAACACCAAAGTGTCTGGGCATTTAGCTTTAGAAACTTTAGGGAATATTTCCATAGGTAGCAAGGCAAAGGGAGAGGCAAAACCCACTAGAACTCACAAACAAGAAGCTTCCAGAAAAAAACAGCAGAAGTAATAAGTCCTACATTATACTCTCATACTTTAGAGTTCAGCTGTTCATAATGGTTCCCAAGGAGCAGGCCCTGGCAGCCTTTCACTTTTGTTAGGCAAAAACACAAACACTCCTTCATTTCCTTCCAGAGCAAAATGTTTCCATCATTTGGAATTCTGAGTCCAGGACAGATAAGTGTAGCATTCATGTATAAACTAAGGCCAAGGATGAATCTATTTTATTTCATTTCTGGGAACCCCCCAGAAACTTCAAACCAGATAGTTCAAATACTTTCAAAAGCAACTGGACTTTGACCAGCTGTCTACCATTCTCAGTGGCTTCTTTCTAAATCGGGAGAGTTGCTGATTGCAAGGGAGTTGGTGAGCCTGGCTGTTCCCATTAGTCTGAATTCATAATTGGACCAGTAGCCTAGGCCTAGGGCTTCTGTGTGAGAAACCTGAGTCTTCTTAGCACTTAAAGTGGGTTTTCAGTTTCTCTGTCCAACTGGAGTGTGGACAGTTGAGCTAAGAACTTGCTTCTCATTGGTGAAGAGTGTCCTATCAAAATTGAGATCTGCTTGTCACTGGAACTCTTGATGCATCTTCCAGGAAGTTGACAAATGAATCTGTAGGGTGAGCATAAAGGAGGAAGGGGTCTGGGAACCCTCTTTGTGAAGCAGGCTACAATTTCATTTGACTTTCTTTTTTGCCTCTTGGGACCGGTAGACAATTAAAACTTTCCAACATTGGTCAGTAGGTTTTCTCTGTTCAATGCTTTCCCTGTCTTGTCCTTAACTCCCAGAAATTAGGGATATGGAAATCAAATGAACCACTGCTCTTGCTCTGCTTAGAAAATTGAGCTGAAAAGAATAGTTAGCAGCTGATAGCTTTGGATGGGGGAGGGGTTGCAATCACTGTTCCAAAACTCTTTCAGTATCCCATTTACCCAAGTTCTTATGTACTCCCAGAGCATGGTTAACTGAAAGTTGGTCAAACAGCAGACTGTAAATGGCAAAAAGTAGCCCTTTTTGCCTTATGGGCCATAGCAACTTGCAAGGTTGCCTTTAAGATTCTGGGTAGATCCTTTTAATCTATAAGTTCTTGGTTTTTGGAATAGAGTCAGAATTCCTTTAAACAAAATCCAACCAACCACAAAGTGCCATCTGAATTGAATGGTGTGGGGAAAAATGCACTTATTCTCCTTGAGCCTTTGATGATGCTGGCCCTTCAGCTAATTACTTCCTGTACTGAATGCTATATGCAAATGAAACAGGAATTCTTAGAATGCAGCATGACCTGGGCACAGATCTTGGCTATCCATGTTGACTGACATTTGAAGGACCTCAAGGCGCACGTGCAAGTTACCTTGGATAGATCTGAGGGAACAGCTACTTTGTTTGTTGGCTGAGCTTGGTTCATCCAAATCCATCCAGTCAGGACCTTTTCTAGATAATGTTGGGAGGTCCTATACATTTATTGAAACTCATCACCCTGATCTCCGTGTAGACAATCAAACTGAAAAAGGCATGAAGTTTCAGGATAGAGTCACATTCATATTTTGCACCACAAAAGCCATCCAATCAACCTCATGCCGAAATAAGTGCACACCTGTAAAACTCACTGGAGGAATCACACTGTGGTTAAGGAGGCCTCGCAGTTTTTCTGTATCTCCATACAGGTTTGTCAAGGCTTCCTCATGAGAATGAATAATCAGCAATGGCACCCGATGGCCCCACCCCCAAGGGGTTGACAGCCCCTTTTCAGCTCTCCTACTGCGGCTGCCAGCGGCGGGAGCCAGGGCTGGAGCAGCCAGGACATTAATTGAAAAGGTGACATGAAAAAGATGGCACAACCTTTGCTTCTGATAATTCCTCCTTAGTCAGTGCACACCACTGGGGGAAAATAAGAAGAAACCCAGTAACCAGTCATGGTGAGGGTGTAATTATGGAAATACAAAATGTTTAAAGACCATTCCAGTGCCTTACAACTTCAGTTCTAGTTGAAGCAGGCTCTTTCCTGCTGGCCAGAGTGTGAGTTAATGTAAAAGAAATGTAGGCTCTTTTGTGATTTCCATGGTTCCTTTTTATAACCCTTTCTCTTCCCCCTTCTCTACTCAAGTTTAGTAAGTAAACCCTGTTTGTTGAACCCAGGGCTTAGGTACTGGAGTTATCAGTGTTTTCATAGTCTTTTGAAAACTGTGCAATAATTCTCCTAGCCAGTGGGTTAGTGGTCTTCAGCAGTTCAGCTGCTGAGGGGCGGGACCTTGGAGCTGCCTTACTTCCCTTCTTCAGGAGCAAGGCCTTGAAATCATCATTTCTGCCAGCATCTAGGCTGGCAATGCCGCTTGACCCGGCAATGGTGGCAGACTCACTGATTGGAGAATCAGCTGTGTTCTTTACCGGTGAGTGAGAGCTTGGTCTGCTGCTGGCAAAGCCCTCTCCAGGCTCCTTCCAGCCAAGCAGTTTTCTTTTGGACCTAAATAAGAGAAAGCTTGGTCTGAGTGAATTTGGGGAGCAGACATTTACCAAAACTTCATAGTTATGCAACTGAGAATGTGTACATGGTAGTCTTGAAAGTGTATTGACTGGCTTTCTCTCCTACCTCTAAGCCCTTAAGTCCCTGATTGGCCCCTCCTGCATTCTCCACATGCCCTTCAATGTCCACTGAACCTTGGCCTGTGCCTGCAGGTTCAGTCCTGCCCAGGTTCTGGGACCAAGGACAAATGCTAGTAGTCTAGGCTAGTAGCTCGGTGACTGAATCAGGACAGTCTTGGGACTGATTCTGTTCTGAACTGGTGCTCAGGCTCTGGTAACTGGGTTCTTTCCAGGTTCCTTGTCACCAAGCCCCTCTCTGCCTTGTGCCCCTGTGCCTCATGTACTCCCCCTTTGCCTAAGTTCCTGCTTTGATATGCTGCCTAAGTGCCCCACATCATCTCTTGATAGGATTTTGTGGTACAAGGAATTCTGTGAAGGGTTAAATGTCTCTGACTGTAGACAGAGCTGTGAGAGAGCAGATGGAGCCACAATAGGCCAAGTGGTTGCTAGGAGACGAGGGGCCTCTCACTCAGCACCTGGTCTTCCCCTCCCTTCCCCTCCTCCACTTTACCCAAAGATGTCAGTAAATTTGAGATGTGAGGCCCTGGACTGCACTCACATATGTGAGTATCTGAATGTAGTCTCCAGTTGCAATTGTAATGGCTGCTTAGAGGCAGTTTTTCTTTAAGTAGAAAAAGGGACTGCAATAGAATGAAGGAAAATGGTTCAGACCTGTGTATCACAGTAAATAAATCTTCAGTTGTGCGTGAAGCCACAAACACGTCATCATCCTCCTCCGCAATCCATTCGGCTGTTTTATCACTGATTAAACTTTTCTCTTCGGTGCTTGGCTCCACAGAACTCCCTAGGCATAGAACCAGAAGGAATGAATGACTTTGACCACAACAGATAGGACAAATCACATTCATTCTTATATGTTTATTTCATGTGATGTTCAAAGTAACTATGGAAGGGCAGCAGGATGGAGATTTATAATGCTTTCGTTTTGCAGAGAAGGAACGTGAAGAAGAATGATTTGCCCAAGGTAGAGTGAGTGGTGAAGATTGCTCTGGGTCACTGTTTTCATGTGCCTTTTTCATGACAACAGGTGGTCTAAGCATTCTCTTGTTTTATTTTAATTTTTATTTTTTTTTAATATTTTTTTTTAACTTGTGGATGAACACAGTATCTTATTATTTTCATGTGGTGCTGAGTACTGAACCCAGTGCCTCATACATGTTAGGCAAGCACTCTATCACTGAGCAACAATCTCAGCCTAATTTTTATTTATTTATATATATATATTGTTCCAGTGTTAGGGATGGAACCCAAGGTTTCACACGTGCTAGATAAGTGCTCTACAACTGGGCTACACCCCTGGCACCTCTCATTTTAAATACATAATTTTTTATTGGTGTGCAATAATTATGCAGAATAAAGGGTTTAATTATGGCATATTTATACATGCACATTACATCATTTTTTCTGGTACTGGGGATTAAACCCAGAGGTGCTTGATCACTGAAGTATATCCCCAGCCCTTTTAATTTTTTAAAAAATTTTGAGACAGGGTCTTGCTAAGTTGCCCAGGTTGGCTCTAAATTTGTGATCCTTCTGCCCTAGCTTCCTAAGTAGTTAGGATTACAGGTGTGCACCACTGCTCCTGGCCATATCACACAATGTGATCAACTGAAATCCTTATTACCTCCTCTTGTCATTCCTTTCTCTCTTCCTGATCTTTCCTTTACTCTATTGGTCTCCCTTCTATTTTCATGATATCCCTTTTCTCTCTAACTTGCACAAATGAGAGAAAACACATAACCCTTGTATTTATGAGTCTAGCTTATATCATTTAATATGATGCTCTCCATTTTTAAAACTCAAGGAACTAAGAGCAAGCTTAAGGAATGACTCTTATCCAGTGGGTGAAAGTGGGACCTGTCTGAATCTCAGCAGGAACCTGTGGAGTATGAGGAAGCATATTCTTTTTTCATTTTTTTGTGGTACTAGAGATGGAACTCAAAGGTGATATACCATTAAGCTACATCCCCATCCCTTTTTATTTTATTTTATTTTGAGATGGTATCGCTAAGTTACTGAGGCTGGCTGCAAACTTGCAATCTTCCTGCCTCAACCTCCTGAATTGCTGGGGATTACAGACATGTGCCACCATACCCAGCTTGAGGTAACATTCTAAAATAACCCATGACTTTGATTTATTTGCTTGTTTTAGAAGGTCATGAGATTGTGAGATTTGTTGTTAAGGATTTTAAAAAGATGAAAAACATGGATGAGCCTTGAGGACATTAAATGAAATAAGCCAGTCACAAAAAAGACAAGTACTGTATGATTCTACTTCTATGAGATATCAAGAGTAGCCAAATTCATAGACCCACAAAGTAGAATGGTGGTTGCAATGGCCTTGGGGGAGGAGGAAAATAAGTGTTGTTTAATGGGTATAGATTTTCGTTTTTTGCAAGATGAAAAGGGTTTTGGAGATGGGTTGCTCAACAATACAAATACATTTAACCCTAAATCAATGCATACTTAAAAATGGTTAGGATGGGTGCTGGGGATGTAGCTGAGTGGTAGAGTATTTGCCTTGTCTGCTTGAGGCCCTGGGTTCAATCCTCACTTACCACAAAAAATGCTTAAGATGGTAAATATTATGTGCATTTTACAATTGAAACTAAAAGGAGGTACAATGGTACACGCCTGTAATGCCATCTACTCAGGAGGCTGAGACAGGAAGGATGGCAAATTTGAAGCCAGCCAGGGTAACGTAGCGAGATCCTATCTCAAAATAAAAAAATAAAAAAAGGACTTGTGATGCAGCTCAGTGGGAGAGAACCCCTGGGTTCAATTCCTACTAGTGCAAAAAAAAAAAAAAAAAAAAAGAAAAAAGTGAGAAACAAACAAAAAGGATGTGAATCATTAACTAGCTCTTATGGTTCCAAGGAAGTGGATACCTCTTGATGGCACCAAGAAAGGGTACTGGTGGTAATAGAATTCATTGTTTTAGAAGCCTGCATGCCAGCCATGGCACTTGAACTTGATCTGTGAGTGTACTGAATCCCCTGCATGAAATTACATTTAGTGGGTAAAGAAAAGTACTGTTCAGTGAAATAAAATGCTAGGCAGGGGATGCATGCCTGGTGAGTAGATCCTGATGTCCTAGTGTCCTAGGGGCTAGTTTGATTTCATTATCTCAGCACCTGAATCAAGGGTAGACTCACCCAGACTTGACTTTGGAGATCTTCCCTAGATCAGTCCTGACCCCAAGGACAGTAAGGCCTACTTGCCTACAATTCCTATTCAGAATAACCCAAATCCTCAAGAGGTGTTCCTACTGATTTGGTTATCCTGGGATGAGGATAAGCATTCTGGAGCATCTGCTTCTTCCTTGGGTACTCCAACCTCACCCACCCTCCTGTGATTGACAGAAAAAGCCCATGGACAATTTACTAACCCAGAGAGCTTGCCTCCTTTTCACTGTCAAACTTTGGAGCTGAAGTTGTCCTTTTACCAGGCAGGTCATCCCTGATTGGGGGACACTTGGTATCTTCCTGCAGGGTGATGATGGGACTGAGAGGCAGTCTTGGTTCTGCCACATAGGCCTCCATCTGAGCTACTGGAGAGGTGAGAGGCAGGTACAGCACACTGGGCTTTTTTGGTACAGGAGGTGGAATCTTGCCTGTCTTTCTCTCAGCTTCTTCCTGGCTCTGGAGGCTAATTCTTTCAGGCAGGGCTCTCACCTTGAGGCCTTCGTCCCCCATACATCCCTGGGGAGGTTGCTGTGTTCCTGAGAAGAAAGCACCAGAGGAACTGGCAAAAGGCGTGAAAACAAGAGATGAGGGTCCTGTTGACTCCCCTGGGCTCCGGGCATCAGGGAAGCTAGAGGGCTTTGGTTTCCGCATCACCGTGTAGCTGTCTTGGGGGAGCGGCCTCATAGGTTGAATGGCATTCTTGGGGGTCACAGGTGAAGTTAGTGGGTATTCCTCTGGGACAGATGGTGGTTTATGGGTCAAGCTTGGAGGCCTTCGGGCCAGTGGAGGCTTCTCAGCTACAGGAGGTTTCACCTTTCTTTCTGGCAAGGTGAAGACTTCTGCTGTGGGTTCCTCAGCATAGTCTGGGCTCTCAATGTCATCTTCTGGCTCAGACTTGCTGACTGACCTCAGGCGAACAGAACGCAAGTCAGACTGAGTAACCATGGGCATGACTGGCTGGTTGGGACTAGTTTTCTGTGCCAGCTTGGCTCCAAAATTGGTATCTGAGTGATGGCGGCTCACCTTGGTTTTACTGCGGATGGAGATACTCATCCCAGACAGATCTAGATTGGCTGAAGAGGTCAATGGTAGGTCAAATGATAGCCGTGACTTGGAAATTTTCTCCATTGGTGATGTCGGGGGTAGTGATGACTTTCTTTCAGGTACCACTGGACGTACCCGGACACTGCTGCTTGAACTGGGTAAGTGGCCCAGGGTCAAGGACATGGAGACAGTGGGTGTTGGTGTCTCTGACTGGCTGGAGTATCCACTGGAAGGTGACATCAGTCCAGTGGGCCTTCCTGGGGAGGATACTTCTCTGGCCTCCACCTCGATGGAGAGTTGGGAAGGTGTTGTGGCTCTGGAGGTGGAAGGAGAGGCAAGAGATTCTGAGCTGCCTTGAACTTGGGTACACTCAATGACTGTGGTGCCAGTGGCAGTGCTGGAGCTAGACAAAGATTGGTAGGTGTCACCAGACTTCCAGTCAGTAAGATACCAGTGGTGGGAGAATTGTGTACCTTCTGAATCTTTGAGGGTTGGCACAGCTGGGTGACCCTGAGCATCTGGATGGGATGGGTTATGTTCTTGGTGTTCCAAAGAGAGGCAAAGGCTCCTGGGCCTCTGGTCCTTGGGCAATGCTGATCCACCTTCTGGCAAGAGGACTGGCTCATCTTTGACCAGTGAGACACTGCGTGTTGGTGGAGAAGGCTTCTTTTTGGCCTTCTTGAGTGAGATACTCTTGGATCTCTGCCTTCTGTGACGGGCCTCCTGCTCAGCACTAAGGGATGAAATGTTGTCAGCACTGTTACTGCCCTCAGAGCTTGTACTGGCATAAGGCAGAGCACAGGCCTCACTGGCCTTCTGTTCTTCTTCATAGTCTATATCTGTGGTTCCTGAGTCTGTGGGCACAGATAATGACCGCTCCCGAAATCTGCTGGTCCCACCTGGGCCTGTCTCAAGCCTTGAGGTACCACCAGTCAGAAAGCCAATCTTAGGGGGTCTTTCTGGCACTTGCCTTCGTTGAGTAGGGTGCTCAGAGTAGCCAGTTAACCCACTGCACCCTGCTGGGTTATCGCGGGTGACAAAAAGGGAAGCTGCCTCTTTAGGAACCAGAGGTGGAAGTGTATTCAGAGAGACCCAAGAATTCCCGGAGGAAGGATTTTTTCCATTTTCATTGACTTGACTGCTCTGGCTGGTGGCACTTGGAGTTATGTAGGTAAAAGCATCTCCCTTCCAGGAAGCAGAGAACGTTGATTCTGTTGGTCCATTGCAAGAACTGGGGACACTATACACCATTCCCATGCTCTCCATGCCAGGAGGGTCTGGGCCACTATGTGCCTGGTGAGGGTCTTCGGGCTCACTAGATGGATTTCTCAGTCCTGGAGAGGAGAGATTTGGGAACCGAGCTTCCTGCCCAACAGCAACTCTTCCATGAACACTTTGTGGAGCTGAGTGACCAGGCCTGGTGTCTGAGGTGATAGATCGAGCCACACTGCCTGCTGGGCCGTTGCTGTGACCTGGAGGAAGAAAGCACAGAACATTAGGGGTACAGCAAGAGATCCCCCATCAGCTGTTTTGAGACAGGAGCACCAACTTTTTGCCAAGAAGCATTTACCAACAGCTTGCTCACAATTCCTTGGTTCTTCCTTTTCATAGATGAAGATGCTGGGGAATTTGGGTTCCTGCCCATGGCCACAAGTGAGTCAGGGTACCCCTGAATCGTCCAGATGCTGCCAAAGATTTTCCAGGTTTGATGATTCCCTTTAGCGGGGAAGAATCCCATGGGAACACCTTGAATTTTTCCCATACTTTCTCCCCAGGCTCATGAAACCATCACAGCCCCCAGTGTCTGTCAATCCTGACATGAGAGCAAAGGCTTCCAAACTGACTAAACTGTGTAACTTGCAGCTCTAGCAGCGAGTGTGGAATATGCCATAGGTGGAATGCCCAGAGCCTAACTGCATTTTTGGCACCTGTTGTTTTTTACCTTTGCAACACAAAAGACTCAGAATAACCTATAGATGTGAGGAAACTGCTCAGGTGTTGCAAATTTCCAGAGGTTTTTCTCATATACACAATTATGACTATTGTATCATTATTATTACTTCTGCTAGAATTTATACAAATAGCCACCATTTGTTGAAAGTTGACTATATACCAGGTACATGTTAGGCAGATTACACAAAAAAAGTCTAATCCTCATAATGACTCAACTGGGTCAGTATCATTATCCCCAATTTACAGATGAAGAAGGTGAGGCTCAGAGTGGTTGTGTAACTTGGACAAGGCCTTGTAGTTAGTAAGTGATCACATCCATCTTTCTGGTGTGTGTGTTTTATTTTATTTTATTTTATTTTTTGTGGCTCTGGGGATGGAACTGAGGGCCTTGCACATGTTAGGTGAGTGTTCTACCACTGACATTCCCAGTCTGGGTCTGTGCTCTTTGGAAGCATTTGGTAATAATGGTTCAGTGAAGAGGTGGTTTTGGTGGTGATCCCCCACCCCACCCTGTTTATCTATTTGTTTAAATTTGGCATATGAGGTCACATTACATTACATTAATTAATTTATTTATTTATGTGGGGGGAGTACTGGGGATTGAACTCAGGGGCACTCAACAACTGAGCCACATCCCCAGCCCTATTGTGTATTTTATTTAGAGACAGGGTCTTACTGAGTTGCTTAGCGCCTCACGTTTGCTGAGGCTGGCTTTGAACTTAACGATTCTCCTGCCTCAGCCTCCTGAGCATCTGGAATTACAGGTGTGCACAACCGCACCCAGATACATTACATTTATAACGGAAAACAATAATGTAATGAGCAAATGAGTTCTGGGAACATGCTCTCCTTATTCAGTTGATGCCCTTGACAAGACTCTCCTGGCTATCCTTAATTACCACATTGGTTTTCTCAGGATGTCTAAAGTCCCACCCCTTTGAATTATTACTGTTCCCCAATACCACAATGCCACTTGGGTGGCAGGACCAGTGGAAGTGGAAGAGGGGAAGGTTCTGGGGGATTGCTGTGGTGGGGTCACCTTGGTCTCGCTGGGAAAAGTTAGAGAATCCAATAATGGTCCGCCTCCGCCTCAGGGTGGACTTGGGGTTCACGGCTGTTTCTGTGTTAAACAACGAGTGTCGCAAACTTGCGTGTTTATCAAACTGCTGTCCTGTAGCCAAAATAAAGACACTTGGGTGCATCCTGGTTTCTCTTTAAAGTACAGTGAAACTGGCCTGAGGTAGAGAGAAGGGATGACGGCAGTAGCAATGAGCATGAATAGCATCCAGGTGGTGGCACTTCTTCCCTATCCTTCCCTATTTGGTGCAAGGGACACATGCTGTTTCACAGGCTGCATCCAGGTCACCTTTAAATCTTAGGTGGATTAGGGCAATGGTTTTCAACCCTGACTTCATTCTGAAATAAACTGGGCAGCTTTTGAATCTTCCAAGGCCTGGAATCCACTCTAGAACACTTACTTCACTCTGTGAGAGTAAGGCCTAAGTAGAAAGAAGTATTTTCTAGAACCCCTCCCGCAGTTACTCAGATGTATAGTCAGGAGTGAAAACCATTAGTGCAGAGTGACTGACTGAGATTAGATGTTGCTTGACTGTGATATCTTGTGAGAAAGTCTTTATAGGGGGCCAGGTGAGGCCAGTGTCTCCAAGAAGCTGTCCACTGCTCCCCCTCCACCATCTAGGAAACAGCCTGATATTCTGTTCCACAGTCTCCTGGTCACATTTTACCAAAATTGGCTGCTGCATGGTGATGTTATCCCCCACACCCGCGCCGGCTCTTTTTTCTTTTCTTTTTTTTGTTTTTTGCAATGGTCTTTTTTGCAGTGCTAGGAATTGAACTTGGAGTCTTGCACTAGGTAAGCACTCTAGGAGCTACACCCCTATACTTTCTTATTATATTTTAAGACAGAGTCTCACTAAGTTGTCAAGGTTGGCTTTGATCTTGTGATTCTCTTGCCTCAGCCTCCTGAGTAGCGGGGATTAAAAATGTGCACCGCCATACCCAGCTGAGCCCTAGCTCTCTTAAAGTTCTGGGTCAGTCTTTGGCTCCTGCGAAATTGCTGGGGCAAAGTGGGGGTGAGGCAATGCTGTGGAAGCAGGTACGCAGTTCCCCTCTCCCTGTCTCTCTTTCAGTAACTGGCTCAGTAGATCGTCCCCTCTCAGCCACACAGTTGTATGTGTGAGTGTGCATGTGTGCATGCACATACACACACAAACATACAGATACACAGCAACAAGTGGCTCTGTGGGCAAAACTCAGGGTCAGTAAGATAGTCATTTAGAAACAGAGTGCCCAATATCACTTTGTGAGTCTCTCCTCATCAGCCCTTTTTCCTCTGGCTTATTTCCCTAGGTGATGGGCTCTACTTCCTGCCTTTCATTCCCCAAGATGACTCTAATTGCAAAGGATGTTCCCTTATCCAGGGAACATCCTCACATGTGGTCAGAGCTGTCCTCATTATCTTCATCAACTTGTTCCAGCATAGCAGGGCTTGTGCTGGCTTGAAGTTTCCCTCTGATTCCTTTGGGTCACTAAGGTCTTGATTTCATCAGGTCCCTGGCCCTGTCTCTTCTGTCATGACTGGTTCTCTTCCTCTTCCCCTTAGAGCCAATGTTGCAGAGGATGCCACAGACCCCCAGAGTCACAGCCAGCTGGGCTATAAAGATTACCTCCCCACTCTCAAGGTTGTCCCAGGGTCCCTTTTGGTCTTTTTTGCCTTAGTCTCTATTACTACATCCTTTTCTTTTTTCTTTCTTTTGTGCTACTGGGAATTGAACTCAGGGGCATTCTACTACTAAGCTACAACCTCTGGCCCTTTTGCTTTTTTTTTAGTTTTGAGACAGAGTTTTGCTAACTTGCTGAGACTGGCCTAGAACTCGTGATCCTTACTGCCTCAGCCTGCCAAGTAGCAAGGATTCCAAGTGTGCATCACTGTGCCAGGCTTACTATTTCCTTCTCTTGAAAAATTTGCCAAATAAGTTGAGGAGGCCCACCTTGCCAGAAGACCTAGTGTGTGGGAAAGGGCTTTTGGTCTGTGCCTGGGTGACCCTCCCCTCTTACCATCAGTCCTTTGACTCCTACCCTCCCACTCTGCCTTCAGTCTATACTCCAGACCTAGCTTTGGGTACATGACATTGTCTTTCTCCAAACCAAACAGAACTCCCAAACTTTAAGTTTCCATATATGCTCTGAAGAACATCCAAGTTCACAAAGTTTTAGAGCTTTCTGTTAAGAAAATTTTGTTTGCTATCAAATGGCATCAGCTAGAGTGGCAGTGACGATAGGGAGTGAAGGAGAGCAGCCAGAGTCCCCCTTCTGCATGCCTCCATTCCCTAGAGCCGTGACTGTGACAGTGCAGGGTGAGCCAGTAGCAAGACAGTGGCCCTCCCTCCCCAGAACCCAGTGCATTTGGAGAGGATGGGCTGTAGTGGCATGGAGGGAAGCAAACAGGTGGTGCTAAGCAACTCTACCAGAGATGTTGATGGGCACAAGATCAGACTGCGTGGAGCAGGGCTGAGGCCACCGCTTTTCCTCTAGGATGGGCAGAGGGAAGGGGCCATTCCAGGCAGTTGGCTTGTCGGCTGTAGACAGGCTCAGGGAGGCCTCAGGGGCCCTCACACCCTGGGTGGTAGTCTCATCCTCGCTCAGCTGCCGTTTTGTAGGCTGTTGGGAGAGAAGGTGATGGAAAGGGTGTGCTACAGACTGGTGATGAACCAGAGCCCATAGGATGACTGTTTAGGCAGAGTGGTTGGAGACTTCATCTGGGAGGCAGGAAAGCGTGGACAGGTTGCCTGCAGGTTGCCTGCTGTGCAGGGCCCATCCAGTGGGGCCTCAGAGAACTCTGCTGGTGAGCAGAGGTGAGCAGTAGCTTCCAGTGGGCAATGTAAGCAGCTGGAGGTCCCCTGTCAGTGGAAGCAGGCTGGCTCTCCCAGGTGGGGTAAGAGGCAACTCACCATCAACACAAATTCCAGACGTTTGGCAGACTGGGGCCTTGAGCTGGGTGTGGGCTCAGGGGCCTCATCAGAAGAGCGGAAGGTCTGCCCCAGAAGTCTGGCCTCCGAGTACTGTTCCTCATATTCTTCTGAAAAATAGCACAGTGGAGACATACTCTAGGGGGCCAAGGCCAAGCACTGGGCTCGGGGAGGACCACAAGCCAGGGCTCCTGCACTAGCTGCCAGGCCTGACTCATGTTCTTTCTTTGGACTATTCCTGGTGTTGGAGCCACTGGATTTGGAAATAGAAAGATGTCTGCTTCCATGAGGGCAGAGGAGAAAAGAAAGTCAATAAATCTGAGCTGTTTCGCTTCAGGCACCAGGTCTTCATCTGATGGCCTCTACCTTAAGTTCTCAAATCAGAATAGTGGCTCAGGATGCAGATACCTTTTGCTACAAGGTCCTTTGTTTGAAGCCCTATAGCTCTTCAGATTTTCCGCAACTCTAGCAAGGAAAGATCTACATGAAGCAAGGAGAGATTTGAACTGGAAAGTCCTGTCTGGAGCTCTTTCCTGGATGACAAGAATTCTTACTTGAGCTTGTATAGATCTGGTTCCACTGTGGGTGGGGTCATGTCTAGGAAGGCTAAGGGGAAGAAGAGGAAAGGAGAAGGTAGCAGCATAGAAGAGGGCCAAGTTCAGGGGCATCCAGGGAATAAGGATGAATGAGATTTGAATGGATTTGACTGAAGAGATGACGCAGATGAATAAATGAAGGAAGAGACAGTAAAAGAACAAACATTCATGGCTCTCTATACTCTGGACAAAGACTTAGAATCATGGAAACTTGGGCTTGCTCTTAGGGTTCTTTAATCCAACACTCAGTTTTGTGCTCAGACTTCCTCCTCAGCAGCCCTTCTATGTGCTCTTTTTTTAAATGGCTTTTTATGGACCTTTATTTTATTCATTTATTTATACGCAATGCTGAGAATTGAACACAGTGCCTCATACATGTGAGACAAGCACTTTACCATTGAGTCAGAACCCCAGCCCCGATGTGCTCTTTCAGCATCAGAGCATACACCTGCAGGGAAGGGGAACTCCCTCCCTCCCAAGGGCAGCTCATTCCTTCCATGGACAGTTGGGGCAGTTAAGCATATCAGAAAAGTTCTTCCTTATCTGGAGGTGGAATCTGCTTCCCTCTGAATTTCTAACCACTGGTCCTAATTCTGCCCATGGCAGCAACACAGAGAGCACCGACTCTTTTTTTCTGCATGGCAGCTTCTTGTTATCTGAACACAAGGCTCATGGTGTCCCTCAGCACCTCGCTTCCCTAAGGTCACCACTGCCCTAGTAGGGAAGTGGGGGTTATGGCTACAGTCCAGTTGGGAGGCCCACTGGCTGTTTTTTATTCTTCATTGGCATTAACTGTTGTTGGTATGGATAAACAAGAGCTGACACAAGACCTCTATGCATTTAGCATCCACCAGGCATGTCTTGGGGGATCCTGCATCAGGGGCTTCTGGAAACCCATGAGTAGTAAGAGATGTGATTTTTTTTTTTTTTTGAGATGCTGTGAATAGAACCCAGGACCTGGCAAATGCTAGGCAAGCCTTTGCCAATGTGCTACATCCGCAGCCCAGAGATGTGATTCACATGGAGAGGAAACTCAGTCTGGTTAAGAGTACAAAACAGGGGAACTCTGAGTGCTGTATAGTGGGCTAGTGAGGTACTAGTGAGGTAGTTGCTAAGCAGGAGGCATGTGGGCAAAGTTATTGTAAGAGCAAAGTGAGTGAAGCCCAGAATGGGAGACCCCACAGATGCCCCCTTTGTTTCCTGATGCCAGGATTCCAGAGGCATGGGCGATGAGTCAAGAAGACGGTTGGAGGGAATGTGGGCCTGCATTGTGGGAGTCTCCCACCAAGATCTCTTTATGAAGGGTTTGCCCCACTGCTTTGCCTTAGCGTCTGTCCATCCCAGCACCTATGGACTACTGAAATGAAAACCAGAGGAGCAGGAGACAGCCATGGAAATAGAATGTTTAAGAATAATCAGTCTGTAAGGTGAAGATAGAGAACATGTGCTTTGTTTTTTGATAGGTTTGAAACTGTTCATTTTTCTCTCGCTGGTCCCTGTCCTCTTTCTTCTTTTCCTTTCTCCTGCTGCTGCGCAGCTCGCAGCTCGCCTCTGGGCTCCGGCCGCAGCCCCCCTCCCTCTCAGTACCTTGCAACACGCTCTGGAGATTGAGCTGCGCCTCGCGAAGCAGCTCTTCTACGCTCGGGGGCCTGCCAGAGGAGAGGAACACGTTCACTGGCTGTCGCCATGACGACCTCGAGTGGGCAGTCGCTGTCGCATTTTCCCGACTCGAGTTAGCTGCAGCTAGGGAAGGAGAGAGTCAGTGAGAGGCGCAGCTGAGGAGGGGGCGGGGAGCGGCGCGCCTCGGCCAGTGGGCGCCCGCGTTTCCTGAAGACCCGCCCCTGCCGGGGGCGGGGGGGAGGGGGTGTGAGGCTGCGCTTAAAAGGCAGGGAATCGCTGTCCGCAATATTTTTCCTCGACAGATCCTGCCGCAGTCTACTCCCTCCCGCACCACCCTCCTCCGCCCTCCCGGCAGTCGCCGCCGCCGCCGCCGCCGCCACGTCTCCCGTGTCCTCTGCCTGTGTTTCCTGGTCCTGCACCGCCGCTCCCGCTTGTTCTCTTCGACCCCGGCCTTGAGGTAACGCGTCCAGGGCCAAGCCGCTGGGCCCTCCGCCCCGAGCGCCTTCCCTCAGTGCTCGCCCCGGTGGGTGTGGCCCGGCCTGCCCTGTGCCCTACTACTGCACTTCGGTTTCTTCTCGCTCGCCGCCGCTACATTTCGGCCTCCTCCCCTGGCCCCTAGCTCCCCGCCCCCACCTCCGGAGACCGAGCCCCTGAGCTAGTCAAGATGTCCGAGGCGGCAGGAAATCTCAATAGCCTCCGCATGGCGAATGTGGCCCTGCGAGAAGAATTAAATGCCCTTCGCGGGGAGAATGCCAATTTGGGCCTTCAGCTGGGAAGAGCCCTGGCCGAGGTTAATTCCTTGCGGGGCAATGTCTCCAGCTACGTCCGCTGGCCAGTGCCCATAGTACCCCTTATTGCCGAGGAGAACTTTGACTTCCCGCTCAATGAGATCGACGCCGTTCCCGAGGGAGAGGTGCCCTTCTTGTGTTGGCCTCCCCCACGCACAGATCCCGAGTATGTCTCGGATGATCTTTTGATTAACGTGATCCAGGACTACAGCAACCCCGACGGGGTCAGTGATCCTCCTCTGCCGCCCAGCCCACCCCCGCCAGAGCAGCCCTCACCCCCAGCGTCAAAGGAGCCGCCCCCGCAGCCGCAGCCGCAGCCGCAGCCCCAGCCCCAGCCCCAGCCGCAGCCGCAGCCCCTTCTGCCACCATTGGAGAGGCCTAACATACGGCTCTTTTCTGGCGATCCAGTCTACCTGGCTGAATTCCTGATGCAGCTAGAGACCTTCATAGCTGACCATGAGGATCATTTCCCTGGGGGTGCTGAGCGGGTGGCCTTTCTGATCTCCTTTTTCACTGGTGAAGCGAGGGACTGGGCCATCTCTGTCACCCAGGAAGGAAGCTCCCTGCATGCCAACTTCCCGCGCTTCCTGGATGAAATCCGTAAGGAATTCCGTGGCCCCATACCCCCACGAGTGGCTAAAAAGGCCATACGCAAGCTCAAGCAGGGAGACTGTACCCTGGGCAGCTATGCAGATGCTTTTCAGTTCCTGGCCCAATTCTTGTCTTGGGATGACTGCCGCCTCCAAAATCAGTTCCTCAAAGGCCTGTCGGAATATTTCCGAAAGGAGCTCTTATGGTCAACTGAAATGGCCGACCTGGATGAGCTGATTCTTGAGTGTGTGGAGATAGAAAGAAAAGTGCGTATCCCCAAGCCAATCAAGCTCCCTGGGGTGCGCAATGTCGTCCCTCCTTTTGCTCCCACCCCTGATGAGGAAGATATTATTGATGAACAGCGCTACCATGAGGATGATGAAGATGGGATATGCAGGCACAGCTCTTCCCTGAAGGACCAGGACATAAGGGCTTTCGGGCAAGAGGTGATAGAGGAGGAGGAGGAGGAGGAGAAGATGAGGGAGGAGGAAAAGATGAGGGAAGAGGAGAAGATGAGGGAGGAGGAGAAGATGAGGAAGGAAGAGGAAGAAATGAAAAAGGAGAAAGAGAATGAGGAAGAGGAAGAGGAGGATGACGACGATGATGATGATGAAGATGATGAGGATGATGAGGAGGATGAGGATGAAAATGAGGAGGGTGAGGAAGATGAGGATGAGAAGGAAGAGGAGGAGGAAGAGGAGATGAAACAGAAAGAGGAGGAGGAGATGAAGAAGAATGAGGATGACAATGAGAATAAGGATGAGGAAGAAGATGAAATTGAGGTGGGGAGCCAGGAACCAGAGCAGGAGCCAGAACAGGAGCAAGAGAGGGTGCCATTGTTTGAGGAGATGTTTGGTGAGATGGGCCATGAGCACCACCATCACCACCACATCCACCACCACCATAATGGGATCCATGTGATAGAAGAACTGATGGAGATGGAGGAGCCTGTTCTTGTTGACACTTCAACCCAGACGATTAGCACAACCATTGGCTACCATGCTGAGAATTTCCTGGGTGCATCACCTCCCATAATACAGCCCAGCAGACGGAGGAACCAGAATCGAGTCCCACTTCTGGAGGGCCTTCCAGGTACCAATTCACCATTCTACAGCTCCCCACCACTGATTCGCCGTGCCGGTCGCTTGGGGCAACGCCAAATTCGAAGACGTCCCCCGGTGCTATTCCGCCTTACTCCAAGACAGGGGGGCCACCGAGCTGCTCGTGGCCGAATTCGCGTGTGAGTGATGGGGCAAACTGGCCACCTGGAACACACCCTTCTACTGCGTCCCCTGCCCCTGCTATTGCTGCCACACTTGCCCCATGTACTGACCAGTCGTTAAGGGAGTTCCAGACCTGCCCAACCTGAAGAAGACCTGCAGAGTTCTAGACTGTCTTGCAACCATGATCAGAGAGTGACATGTGCTCAGCCAAGGCCACCTGGGAAAGGATAGGATAGCAAAAGCTGTCCTCTTGGCATATACTCTGCTCAGTCCTGCCACAAGCTAGAGAGCAGGTTTCTGGGCCTGTTCTCGTGAATGAACTGGTCACCCTTTTGTATTCCCCTCTAGTTGTGCCCAGCCTCTCCTGCGTTTATTCACCCTGTGTTCTACAGTTTTATCCTCCAACTGGCTCACCAGAACTTCACCCAATGCCTCATTGATCTGCCCCAATGATTGAAAGGACAAGCTACATTGAACTCCTAAAGCCACTGAGGCCACTTACTAAATATAATGGACAGCGAGCAGGACGACACCGGGAAATGTGCCTAGAAGGCTATGCTTGTTTTGTGCTACACCTCCAGCAGAAGGGCCTGGAAGAGGACCTACATGTAGCCCAGTGAGAGTGTGCAAAGCCACATGTAAAACTGACAATTTGAGATTTGTTTGTCCTTAACTGACTGTGGCAAGCTGCCTCCACTTCCAGCACTTGAATTCATCTTTCTTCAGACTCCTATATTAGGGCCCTTGGAACGGCTTGGCCAAATCTGGGGCCTTCTCCTCTTACTACACTGTCCTCCTGGACATCCCCAGAATACAGCTTGACATGGCAGGCCCCACCCCTTTCCTTGATGGTGCCTAAAGGGGCATTTGGGGTGGTGGAATAGGAGGAGGAAGAGGGAGAAACCACATGACTGCTTCAAATCCTACAGAGTAAATTTCCTTAGGGAAGAGGGTCTCCTTCCCCAGCCAAAGGTCTCTGCCAGCAACATTCTGTCCTAGAGGCACCCCACTAACCTTCCCTTCCAAGATAAACGGCCTGCTCCTTAACTCCCTCCAACTCTTAAGGAGGAGAGTTGGAAGGTTGCCTCTACAGAGATTGTACCCACTGCAGCCTTGCATCTTGGACACCTGCTTGGCTCTCACATGGGGGTGAGTCTCTGGGCTGTTGCTGTACTTTGACTGGACAGTAAGGCTGATGGTGGTGCTGCCTCTTAGGCATTCCTGGGACTCCTCAGTACAAACCCAGACAGGTGCCCTTATAGAGAGACCTGCTGTTTGCCTTGGGTCCAGAAAACACTGCTTCTGCAGTGAAAAATACACATTTACTATGTCAGCTCTGGCCATGAAATGCCAGCCAAATCCACTCCTTGCCTGAACTGCCCCTGGACACTGAACTCTCTGCACAGTGCCTGGCAGCTGGGCAAGTGCAGCCAAAGTGTCTGTGGCCAGAGGGAAGAAAACAGTGAATGAAGTGTCTGTTCCACACCAGAGTCTGACAGATAACCTCAGCCCAGCCTTGGGATTTGGGGCCTAGAGGCCAGAGGAAGGAGCTGGAGGAAGAGGAGTCACAGAGATCCAGTCCTCAGACTGGTTTCGGGTGAGATCTCTATTCATCAGTGGGAGGTAAGATGCCCTTTTGTTTATCACTTTTGTTTCTCAGCTTGGGAATCAGTGGGGTCAGGTTCCTATAACCTGTTGCTACCTTTAAAAAAGGTTCCCCAAAGAAAAGAATAATACATAGTCATTATAGGAAAATTGGAAAATGGAGAAAACCCTAAGGGAAAAATATCCCAAACATGCAGGATGCAAGTACTGTAAACAGTTTGCTGCCTTTCATTCTAGTGTGTGCTCCCTGTGTCTTCAAAGCTGAGATCATCCTGCTAGCTCTCCATCAGCAGGATTTAAAATGGCTGCCACCTCTGCCATCATGGATACTGAATAATTTATTTAAGAATCCTCCTAATTTGTTAGACATGTCAGTTGTCTGGTTTTCCCCATTCCCACCAGGGGAGAAGTAAACAACCTTGTAAAGATAGTTTTATCTGTTTTTCAGCTTATTTCCTCGGGAGAGAGTTCCAGAAGGGGAACAGCTATTCATCGAGGCTGTGGATCCTGTTTGCTGATGTCAACATGCTGGCCCTGCTGCCTATGAACTTGTGGAGAAGTGCAAAGGACAGGTGCCTTGCACCCCCACTTCCAGGGACCCCTCAGCACAGGCCCTGCCTGTTCCCATGGTGCTCACCCTGAACCCTTGCAGCCTCAGCCAGGGAGAGAGTGGATGAGCAGTGAGCTGGTTTCCGGGCCTCTAGGGGCAGAGGGGGCTTGGGCTTCCCTTTGACCCTCTCCCCGCTTTCCCAGATCTTCAATATTTGTTGTGATGTGACAGCCACAAGAGCTGTAAGAGGAACTATGAGCTTTGGGTTTTTCCTTGGGTTGAAAGAGGGGTGGGGGGTGGGTGGGAAATGCATGCAGGGGTATGAAGGCAGCCCAAGGATTCCCAGAGGCTCGGGAGGAAACCCCCTTGAAATAAATGTGTTATTGTTATTATTGTGTTATTGTTGCACTACTGTGTTGTGAAGATAAGAAATTGCTCTGTACGCTAAAGCTTCTCTCCTCAATAAAAATATAAAGGGTGTGTAAAGATCGTGTCTCTCTGTGTTATTGAGCAAGCAGAGATGGGTACCTAGTAGGCATCAGGTACTTTCTAGGCACCCTGGAACCCCTGCCTGAAGCCTTGAAATTCTTAGATGAGCAAACTTTTGTGGATGGCAGAAATTGTTGGGAGGGAAGTAGAAACATGGGGCATCTTGAAAAATTGCATTAGTTCTACACATGCACACACAACGCCACTTTGAGTGAAAGAAGGGAGGGAAGCCAGGCTAAGTGAGTAGGGAAGAGTGCCCTTCCACTTTGTGGCACTAGGTGGTGCTATGAGACGCCAGTGAGCTAGCTGGTGAAGCTTTAGAAACACAACCCCAGAGCAATTCATGCAGTGGCTTTCCAGCAAGATCTCCAGGCTCCTTGCAGACTGTGGGGTCAGAAGAAACTCAAGCCCATTCTTGGATTTGTCCAAGTTTCCCAGATATTTTTTCCCCTGGGGAAGTGGGTAGGGAATGCTCATTAGGCCCCTGTTAGTTCTGTGCCAGGTGCTTCACATCTATCATCTTACTTCATCCTGAGGGGCAGGCACTATTCTCACCTTCATCCTGGACATGAGGACACAGGCATAGGGAGAGAAGTCACTGCCCCATTGGTACCTACTGAATGGCTCCTTCACAGCCCCACAGTTGCTAATTAGCTCCTGAGACACTTAGCCCCACCTCAGCCCCTACTTCACTGGTCCTTCTGTCTAATAGGCCAGGCTGGTCTGGTTCTGCCCTGCCCTGCCTCTTTCTCCAGCTTGAAGAATTCCAGTGGAGATACAGCTCTCATTTCTGAGGCACATTTGCCTTGCATCCTTAGAGTAAGGAAGGAGGAAAGGAGGGAGGAAACCAGCATGTTTCTGATCGTGTTGGGCCCTTTCACCAGCATCACCTCATTTCATTGCCAAAATATTTCAGTGAGACAAATAATGTCTCCCTTTAGAGCTGAGGGATTCGAATCTCTGAGATTTTAGGTTCCATGGGGGACTCCAGGTCTTTGTGACTCACAAATCCATGCTTTCAACTCTAGCGCACCATGCTGTCTCCCAGGAAAGCCTCTTGACAAGCGCAATCACAGGCCAACTGCATTCTGAATCTTGCCAAAGAAACCAAGTATGTGTCAATTGCACTAGCTCTTGAGCCTCTAGGAAAACCAGCCAGGTGGTCATTTGTCCTGCAGGGAAGGGCCTGCCTAGGAAGGCAGGCTAGTGGCAGTGCTAAACATGTGGCTGTCTACACTTTTGGAAGAGGAATGGGGCTATGGAGCTGTGAGCTGCCTCAGTGAGCACTGGGGCTCCCACTAAGGCTTCAGGGGGTCAGAAAAGGTCTCCAGCAATCACTGCTGGGATTCCTCATGATGCCACAGGTAGGAATAAATGAGTCCAGGTGGTATAAGGACCAATCAGGGCAGGTAAGAAAAATAGAAATCCTTATCTCAATCCTTCAGTTGGAAGTCCTGTGAAGAGACTGTGAAGTCCTGTGAAGAGAGCCTGAGATTTTAGTCCATCCCTGCCATTGATTCCATTTGGGATCGTGGAAAAGTCCGATCCACTCTCTGGTTTCGTCTGTTTTGTCACTGTTGAGACCCTGGAACCCAGCACATGGCTTGGTACACAGTAGGATCTCAACACTAGTCTGGCACATAAATGAAAATGTGAGTAAACAGGCTGCTGGATGGAGACCTAGAGGAAGCCTGCTAAGGGCATCTGCAGGGAGTACTAGAGGATTCTCTCCAAAATGGAAACAGGAGCTAAAAAGTATCTCCCTCACCTGGAGGGATATATTGACATGAACTTACATTCAGGTTCAAAATCCAACTGCAGGAGCCGGGGTTGGGGAGACATGGCTTAGAAGCATGTGAAAAAGAATGCGAGTGTATGTGGGCTGAGAATGAACTGGCAGATTAGAGATGCTAATGCCTTCCTGGGCTGCTGCAAGCACCTAGAGGTGAACAGGCCCCACCTGGGGTCCTGCCTTCCTAGCAGGAACCTTTTTGCATTGAGGAGCAAGGAAATACCAGAATCAAAGAAAAGAATGAGAGAAAGGGGGAGGCAGTGGAAGGGTGATCAGAAGGGTGAGGGGTCCCCAAGTCTACTCCCATGGGCTGGGGGAAGGCAGAGAATATCTTGCAACATGTGAAGCAGGCTGGTTTGCTGTAATCACCCTTTTTATCAGTGAGGAAATGGGCAGCCAAAAGGCCAAGCAACTGGCTGAAAGTCACTGGCCTCATGTCTGGAGTTTGACCTTGAACCCCAGCAGTCTGACATCCAGAACTGGTGCTCTTAAACTCTACCCTCTACCCCCACTGAGGCTGAAAGAATCAGAATCTCCAGGAATTTCTATTTCTATAAAGCTCTCTAGACAATTCTAATGCCCAGCCCAGCCCAAGGCAGAACAAAGACTTGGGGACTAACTAGCCCAGGTGACATTCAATGGTTCTAAGCCTTCCCATACAGTTCCCAGAGCAGGAACCAGCCCAGAGACCCAGTCCCATCAACCTAGGAAGTGATTGAGAAATAAATGTGCTAAGATTCCCCAGCATGTACCATGGTCTGATGTAAGCTCACCTATCCTGGACACATCCCTCAGATAGCTGCTAATACCCTCCTGAGAGAAACTGTGACAAAGGGTGGGTGCTAAAGTCTGGTTTTGGGAAACTAGGTCCATTGGAGCCAAAGCTTGTGCCCTTGACCTCCAGAACTGGCTCATGAGGCTGTGGGAGGGGCTGTGTGGGTTCCTCTGGGGGATAAGCACAGGCATTAACAAGCCCAGAAACTACCCTCAAATGGGGGGGGGGTCCACCTCGGGCTAGCACTTCCTGCATCCTGCCCAGACTAGGGAAAGCTCAGCAGGCCACCTCTCCCTGGGGACTCCATGCAGAAACACAAAGCCCAGAGTTCTTGGTTGCCCTGGTAACAGCAGGACCTACTTGGAAGAAAACAGTCTTTTAAAGGCTTAAAAGGGTGGATATTTCCTTTGACAGAGAGCAGGCCCTGACCTGCTCCCTGCATCCTCCTCCCCTTCCTGTCAGCCCCACACATATGGGTAGAGCTGGGGCCCCTCATCTCAGCAACTCTTCTAATGGGGATGGGGGTGGGGTGTGTATTTTCTGGAAAGCAGGGCCCTGGCTTTTTATTCTGCTCTCACTGTGGGCTGTTAATGTTGAGAAAGAGGCTGAAATGGAAGGTGTGAATTCCTGGCAATGGCCTTGTGGCCCAAGGAAGCCTCATCTTGTAGAACCCACACAACAGAACATGAGGAAGGCAAGTGTTCTCAGCAAGTCTAGTCTTCCTACCCATTTACTGCACAGAGATGAGACCTGTCTGGGCATGGGACACTGTGGAGGTGGCCAGAAGTTCCAGACTTCTTCCTATTTCAGCATCTCTTCCTCTCCCTCCTGGACTATTAAAGTAGCTCCCTGCTAGTCTACCTGGCCCCTAATCTCTACTTCTAATCAATGTATCTTCTATACGCCTGTGTGGTGGTGTTGGGGGCATGCTATGGTGGTCCTTTGAATTCACAGATTTGGGCTTGTTGCTCCTATACAAAACCCTCAATGGCTCCCCTTCCTCAGAGGAAGACTTGTGGACCAGACTCTGGCATTCTTCACTATCTGGTCATAAACCACCCATGCTGTCTCATCTGCCCATGCTATCCTCCTTTCTCTTTAGTCCAAACTTCAGACACCATGAATGAGTTCCTTCTTTAATTCATATATCAGGCCCTCTGGCTTCTCTTTTTGCACATTCCATTCCCTTTGCCTTAAAAATTCACAAATATTCTGGGCAAAACCATAGTCCCAGTTACTTGGGAGGCTGAGGTAGGAGAATCACCTGAGCCCAGGAGTTCAAAACCAGCCTTGGCAATATAGTGAGAACTGGTGAGAGAGAGAGAGAGAGAGAGAGAGAGAGAGAGAGAGAGAGAGAGAGAGAGATTGAGATTCCAAACACAGGTCCCATTCTGAAGTAGAATAAATAAGAAATAGGTAGAAAAGGGATGGGGATGTGGCTCAGTGGTAGGGTACTTGCTTCTCATGCATGAAGCCCTAGGTTTAATCTCCAGCACCACACAAAAAAGGAAAAAATAAATAAAAGGTAGAAAGGTTACACAAAGGAAGGACAAGAAAATAGTATTTTTTTTTTTTTGCAGTACCTGGAATTGAACCGATGGGAGCTCTATCATTGAATATAGCAACATCCCTAGCCCTTTTTATTTTTAATTTTTAGTTGTGACTGGGTCTCACTAACTTGCCAAGGCTGGCTTCCAACTTGCAGTCCTCCTAAATAGGTGGGATTACAGGTATGCACCACCACTCCTGGCAATAAAATAGAATTTTAATTCAGAAGTTCAGCATACTTTTCCAGACCTGTCACTCCTGGAGCCTATCTCCCTTCCAAGCCCGTTATTCCTAAATTTTTAGGAAGTCTGTAAATTTATCTGTGCACTGTTAATTACCTCCCCACCTAAATAGAATAAGCAAAAAAAGACATTTTGAAAAACCTATAATTTAGGGGACTTTCCAATGCTATCTATTGGTCAGATAATCAAGACCACCTCAGCCTAAGGATCCTAGATTCACTAGACCACCAGAAGCTGTCTTGAGATCACTGGACTCAGATCATTCCTGCCTATCTTTCCATACCCACCCCTCATCAGTTTCCTTTAAAAGAAGAGTTATGAATTCCAAAAATGCATCTCTCACTCTTGAGATGCTCCTCGTTGCATTCTCCCTTGAATGTGTATTCCTTGCCTTACCCCCAAAGGCATCTCCCTTGAGATCACTCCAATTCTCCCTTGAATACATTCTACTTCACTAAAAGAACCTCTCTCTATGCCTGTGAATGGCTTGTGCTGAAATTCTTTTTTGTCACATATGTCAAGAACACCACTGGTCCTGAGTCAAGTCTCTTAGGGAATTCCTTGGATCTTCTTCAGAGAAACCTCTCCTCCTGTGACAACTCCACCTGGCAATCTTCTCAGCTTCTTCCATGAAGCTGCT